CCTCCCAGGACGGAGAAGAGGCCCGAACGCTCTCCTCTCAGCCGCCATGATCACCTCCCAGGACGGAGAAGAGGCCCGAACGCTCTCCTCTCACCGGCCATGATCACCTCCCAGGACGGAGAAGAGGCCTGAACGCTCTCCACCCTGATTACCTCCCATGGCAGAGCTTGCCCATGACGCCGGGCCCTCCTTGTGGTTTAGAAAGAGGCAAGGCCTCAGAGGCACCCAGGTGGCTCCTGTGCCTAGCCCCAGGCAGCCACTGGGGGCTTCCCGTGGTCTCTCAGAGGGCACACCGCAGCGGACTCTAATGCTGAGCGTCTCACCCAGGGTAGAGCTGAATAGGGGGTGTCCAGCCCTCTCCACGGCCAACTTATACCGGCCTTTAAGTGACTAGGGCAGACGAGACTCCCAGAAGTCACGGCCACTTCTGACCTCTGCCTCTGCTCAGCCTCTCTGGTCACTGCCAGGCTCAGGGCAGCAGGCCTTTCAGTACTGGACATGGCCACTCGTTCAGGGGACAGAGTTCTACTTCATCTACCAGGCCCCTAAGTTTCTCTGGAAGGAATGACACATCTTCCTCTATAGCAGCCATTCTCAACCAGGGCTGACTGCCCCGAAGAGATGCTTGCCAAGTCCAGAGACGTTCTGGTGGTCACGAATGAAGGGGGTGCTCCTGGCATTCGTGGGTGGAGGCCAGGGATGCTGCTCCACGCCCACAGCACCCCAGCGGCCCAGGGCCACGCGTGTGCAGCCCCAGCGGTGAGCAGTGCTGAGGGAGAGCCTTCACGTGGGCACAGCTGCCTCTGGAGTGGCTTTGCAGAAAGGCCTGAGGTGGGCTGTGACTGCAGCTAGGCCCACTTTGAGAGGAAAACTCTTGCTCTTCACGTCACCACCTCCACTGGAGGAAGCGAGTACCACTCACGCAGGAGTCTACGCTGACGTTCTCAAAGAACCTGCCTACCCAGTGCGCCACCGGCACCTGGTCTCCCGCTCAACTCTGCCACCACCCGGCAGAGAGAAATCAGGGAACCCCATGTGGCCTGGCAGGGCGTAGATGTGCATATCAGACAAACACTTCTGGGCCACCAGAAGCTTCTGGACTCCACTGCCGGGTCCCCAGCCTGCTCCTGAGCCTCATGGTGGCTGCAGGGAGTTATGCAATCTGAAGCGCCTCCCCTAGGTGCCCTCAGCTCTCCGTCACCCTATGGGGCCACCACTTACCCATGGGACACTCCCCCTGACCACAACTTACCTAAAAGCAAACCTCTCAACCTCCTAAACATCAACGTGTAGCAGTGACCTCCAAATGCACTGAAAGAACCCAAACTCTTAGCGGTCATTCCTCACCATGAGTAGCCACAACTGTTTGGTTAAAACACTGAAAATAAAGTACATAAAAACAAAAAGAAAACAAAAAACAACAAAAAAAAAATGAAGAAATTAGAAAAACCTCAAAACCTAGAGCACAAAATAAAAAGAACTTAAATGTAATAATTTAAAATAAAGAAAAATCAAATAAAACAGACCTATGAATGAAAACATAAACACCACAATTTAAGAAGAGAGAGACCATTTCAGACAACACAGGAGGTGACAGGAAAGACACGGTGAGAACAGCGGGCCCAGGGTGGGCACGAGGAGGCAGCCAGGAGGCCAGAGGGTGTCAAGCGAGGGCTCCCCATGGCTGAGGCTGACGTGTCTTCAGATACCTATGGGCAGGCCCCAGCTCCAGGCCCAGGGAGTGCGAGCCAGAGAGTGAGAGAGAGAGAGAGAGAGGTCGGCCCAGGTAGCAGGGCTGGGCCCAGAAGGCGGGGGGAGCCCCACAGTTCCGCTGCCCTCTCTCCAGCCCCCAGCATAGGCAGGACAGGGGAGTGTGCTGGGGGACAAGCGTCCCAGATGCCATGGGGGTGCTCCCTCCCAAAGCAGTGCAGCAGCAGCAGGGCTGAGCGAGAAGGAGCCTACAGCAGCCCCCACAGGCACACGAGACACTGAGAGGTGGAAGGACAGTTGGCAAAGCGTGCAGCAGGAAGGAAGCTTCTGGAGCAGTCCCAGACCCCACATCCACCAGCCCAACCCAGCCCACAGGCACAGGGCCTCTGCCTCTGTGGACATCCTCTGACTGCCCCTGTGGGAAATCCACCAGCCCGGGGTCACCTCCTCTTCCCAGGAAGATAGCTGTCCTTACCTGGCACTGAGGCCAGATAGTGAGCTCACAGGCCAAAACCAGCAGCAAGCCGCCTGGGGCCCCGAACGAGCGGCCTGGCTCTGGCCCCGCACTGAGTGCACTCTCTGGCCACTGGCCACCGGCTGTGAGCACCTGCTGGGGGCGGGGTCTGCCTTTTCAAACTCAGGACCCAGGAGGTGTTAACAGGGACAGGCAGGGAGGGGTCCAGAGAAGAGGAGCTTTCTCCTCACCTTTCTGCCAGTGGAGGGCAAACCCCAGACTCTAGACACCGATGTTCCTCCGAGAGCAGAGGCGCAGCTCTCAGGGGCAGGCTGTGTCTGGCTGCAGCCCAGGTGAGGGAGACACTTTACTTGGGGGTGTGGTTTGAGAGAGGGTCACTAAGCTCAACCCTGACGGGCACTGGACACCCCTGGCTGCAGAGTGTTCTATCCACGGGCAGGGAGGTCTAGCCTGGACTAGCAGGTGCTGACGCAAGGCGGCCTGGAGCAGCCGCAGCAGCATAGGGCCTGCTGGGCATTCTGAGCCCCAGACACCCTGGCTGGGTTTCTCCACCCTGCCACACGAGGGGAGAGGGCAAGTGGCCAGGGAGAGTCTCGAAGGGCTGCCTGCAGATGGGGCTCCCGCCCCAGTGAACGTGGGGCACCAGCAACAGGGAGGAGCCTCTCACTCCACGGCATGGCTACGAAACCTGGTAGCTGGAGCTGGACTGCAGCTGGCCGAGGTCACTCAGGTGCCAGTGGTCCCCCGTAGGCACGAGCTTGCCCCCAATCTGTGCACGTACCATGCCGTCAGTCAGGGGGAACACGTTCAGGGACGTAGGGCGCTCCTTCCTGCTGAAATGCGAGGAGAGAGGAGAGGACACGAGTTAGAGGGTGGCCGTGAAGAGAACCCAAGCCCTCCCAGGACACGCAGACCCCAAGTGAAAGGGCCACTCCATGCCAGCCCACAGCCCAGCTCCAGCGTCTGCTCAGTCACAATCCCACTCCTATGATGCCGCAGTTTCTCACTTTTATGAAGTTTAGTTTTAAACAGACACCAGCGGGGTGTGCTGAGACGCCCCACAGCAGAGTCAGCCACAGGACTTGGCATCAGGGTCGGCGCCACACAGCCACCATGAGCAGTGGCTTTTAGGCCCACGGTCTTCAGTGAGTCCAGCCCTGCCTCTGTGGTGTTACATCAGCCCTGCCTCTGTTCCTGGGACCAGCAGAGGGAATCCAGCCTTCCTGCCCCTGTTTCTTGTTCCTCGGCCCCTCCTGCCCATCCTCACTGCTTCTGTTCATGAGGCCGCCTTGCTGCAAAATATCTGAACACAATACGTGCAGAGTAAGGACTGCCCCGCCACATCTGCTGGAGCCTGAGCCTGAGGGGAGTCTTCTTCCCCACACGTCCTCTCTGCTGTCAGGGAGCCCCAAACTTGAAGATGGACCCTTGGGCAGCCTGGCCGAGACCGTGGGAGCGCCTGGGAGCTGGAGTGGTCAGGACAGAGCTCAGTCTCCCCTGAGGTGGGCTCAGTCCCTGGGGCTGACCTCCTGTGGGCCATAAGCAAGAGCAGGGATGGAGTCCAAGGTCTCCCTTCACGTCCTCCTCTGAGAGAGGCTTCCAGTCAAAAGCCCTGAGGTCCCAGAGGCCAGGCCGGCTCCCCAGCAATTCAGGTCTGAGGGGCAGACCACACAGTCAGATGCTGGAGCCCACAGTGCTCAGAGCTCTTCAGGAAGAATTAAGAGTCTGCTCGCACCACAGCGTCTGCTGCTACATCTCAGCCTGAGGCTGCAGGAGGGAAGGGAGCTTCCTCAGGGGTCCAAGGAACCCGTTCTGGCCGTGCTTGGAGGATGCAGATGGCAGCGGCGGAGTGCAGCAGCCGCTGCTGACCAGGAGCTCCGCTCGCTGGGTGGGGAGCCATGAAGGATGACCTGGGGTGCACCCCACAGGTCATTCTGGGGACTGCCACCTGGTCTGTTATGCTCAGGACAGCACCGTACCCTGCAGCACAAGGGTCCCAGGGCCGACTGGGACTGGGCTGTGCCATCTCGGCTGCTGGTCCATGGCACTCAAGCTGTTCTCTGACAATAGCCACAAGGTTCCTCGGCCACTGTGACGGCAGCCAGCCGCCAGGCCCAGGGAGCATGACCCCAGTAGGGGGCTGTGCCTCAACCACCCTGTCTGCACCAGGGGGCTCCTGGCCCCACTTCCACTGGGCTCCCAATGCTGGTGCAGGGAGCACCTCTCCTGAGGCCCAGTTCTGACACCATGAGACACGTCTCAGTCCCTAGACCCATGCCAATGCGGTCCCCGCTGTCACCAGATGCTACAGGGCACAGCAGGGAGAGAAGGGCCTCTGCCTCCCAGGAGGTCAAGGGAATGTATGCACGGCTCTCCCACCCATGTGGTTCAGTCAGGCCACTGCCTCCGAGGGAAATCACCTGGGATCAGGAGCTGCCTTCACTCTTTCCCTTACTCCTCCCCACTGGATCCCCAGGCCGTGGCTCAGGCTTGTGAGTGTTTACCGAGTGATCCCATCCTCCTGATTCCTCCTTGCAGCTCTCTCAGGGGATGCAGATGTTCCCCGGTTCAGAGACCACGCCGCCCTCGGGGGTCATGCCACCAGCATGCTGTCCTCAGGGGTCACGCTGCCCTTGGGGGTCACAAGCATGCCGCCAGCTCTGACACAGGCTGGTGAGTGAGGGAGCCGCGCTACGAGTCCAAGTCCAACTGAGGCAGAGCGGGGGCCTTCCTTGGCCCAACTTCCCCCGATTCAGCACCAGCCCCACCTGACGCACACCCCTCCTTAGCAGGAGTCAGCCATGCCTTCGTTTGTGACCAGGGTGGCGTTTGTGGAGCCAGGGCAGAGCATCGTGGGCAGCCTGGACCGCACTGCCCGGCTGTGTGGCTATATAGGGGACCCGGCAGTTGCCACCTTCTAATGTCAGTCTCATGAACATGGCCAGACGGCCCTTCTGACTTCTCACATCCGCCGCAAGAAACACCTCACAGCAGACTAAGCAGCCATCCTGGGCAGGTAATTGATGCCCTAACATGCCCGCTCATTGGCCCCCAGCCCCGAGGTGCCCCCTGAACGCCCAGCACCACAGTGGACAAACCTCACGGGTTTTACCTTTTCCTCCACGACTGGCGAGGACTGCAGGGCAGCGACAGACACGGCAGCACATGGCAGTGACAGCACAAGGAGACAAGGAGACAGGCATTAGAGGGCGTGGGCACAGTGTGCGCACATGCTCACACAGACAGCATGTGATGACGCGAGGTGTGCGGGACAGCCGTGCCCCAATAACACAGACAGAAGCCACACACAGGCACCCACAAGGGACAGACACGCGACACACGAGCCCGCCGACTTCCACAGGAGGCCCAGAAACGGGCTGCACGGCAGTTCAGCCAGTGCCACGAGTCCCCAGTGCAGGGCGGCGTGCGAACGTCTTGAGACACTGCTGGGCACATGTGTACACGTGGCCACACAGACACACACACACGCTTCTGCCCGTGAGGCCTCTGTAGCAGGGGCCCAAGAACACGACCTAGTGTCTGCACTCACACGAGTATGCTCCAGACACACGTTCAGGAAGCCATGCCAGGCGTGAAGGAAAATGCCCATCTGGGTTCAGGAGGGATTGCACTCAGCACTGAGGACGGATGGTGCCCTCGTGGGGAGCCGAGGGTTTGGGGCTGAGCAGATGGGACTGAATGAAATGTGTGTCCCCCAAGGAGCCAAAGGCTGTGGCAGGACCGAGTCCACGCCGGAGGAGAGAAAGTGTCCAGCAGGGTGGGCCTCCTTCCAGCTCAACCGCCTGGCGCAGCAACAGTGCAGACCACCAAGACCTGTCCCAGTGCCTCTGACCCCACAGAGGAAGCACCCGGGATGGGGCAGGGGCCGTGCCTTCCTCCTTCAGAGGCATGAGGCTGTGGCTGCTGTCCACGTCTGTGGGCAGGTGGCAGACGGCACGTGAGCCCCACCCACTCCTTTCAGTCAGGGTCTCTGCCTGGGGAGGGGGACACACGAGCCCAGGGGCGGCTTGTGATGCCACCACTGAACAGAAGGCGTGACTGATTCCGTGGGCTGCAGCACGGGCAGGGAGATGGGGCCTCCAGCTCCCGTGCCTTATTCTGGTGGGGCCAGCACCTTCTCACATGCTGTGGAGGTCTGGCGTGGAGGCCCAGTGGCCAGAGCCACGCGGCTGCTCAGACCCCACTGCAGGGCACCTTCCGGCCAGATCTAGTCATGACAACCAAGGCTTTGGCATAAATCTGCACAAGAGACTCCTCCCTCTCCTGCGGAGGTTCGGGGGTCCTGTTTCATAAATGGAGGGCTCCTGGGGGCCGTGGTGGGGGATGGGGAAGGCCCTTAACACACAGCCACCGCTGCTGGCGCGCTCCCATGGCCAGTGCCAAAGGCCTCAGGTGCCCAGAGAACGCCTGGGGCCAGGTCAGGCAGAAGGAGCTGGTGTGGCAGCACTGACAGGAGAGAGACCCAGATCTGTCCCTTGCAAAAGCATGGAGGGGCTTCTTCCAGCGGCACAGTCTGCTTCCTCAAGGGAAGCGTGGCAGCCCGGAGAGCCTTCGGGAGCTGCAGTGGAGCGAGGTTCCGCGAGGACGAGGCACGCTGCCGTGGGCCTTCCCACTGAACTCTCAGGGCCAGGAGGAGCTGAGGGATGGGCGCTGCGTGCAGCCCAGACTCCACTCAGGGCCCTGGGCCCCATGGGGACCACCTTCTACCTCACACCATGAGAGAAACGTCCACAACAAAGGACTCCTTGCCCCGCAATCACGTGCCTCTTCCAGGTAGGCCTGACCTGGCCCATGATGACGGTAGCTTCAGATGGCTCTGGAGCGGGGGTGGCCTCTGCTCTTGGCTGAGCTCACGTGGCCTTGAGGATCTCAGGACGTCTTGGGTGTTGTCCATGGGCCTGGCATTAGGACCACCGTGACTCGGAACCTGGACTCTCAGCGGGCATCCCTGAGTTTACATGTCACAACTCCGGGATCCGGGATGAGCTGCACACACTTCCTGGGCTCCTCCTGCCCAGGTACCCTCCAGCATGGCCTCTGAGGCTCTCCTCTCTGAGGCTGTGCTGGCAGGGAGGTAGCTGAAGGTTCTGGAATGCTGTAGCTCCCAGGGGATGGCCAAATTGCCCGCCTCTGCCTGCAGCTCCCCAAAAAGACAACACGAAGATCCTGGGTCCACGTTCGATTTTCATTCTAGTTACCTGGGAATCCTCTTTCACCTCCCGAAAGCCAGCAGTGAGTCCCAGCGTGCGTGCCATGAGGTGGGAGCTGCGAATGAGAATCTCGTTCTGGATCGGATGGAAACACTGGCAAGGCTTTCACAGCTTCCAAGCTGGCATCCACACTGCCTGGTGTAATTCTCACGGTGCTCTGGGTGGGCGGGCGGCCTGCCGCCCTTTCTCAGGGCAAGTGCTTATCACAGGACAGCTGCAGGTCCCTGGTGAGGCTGAGAGCAGTGAGACTGCCTGAGGACATGCTCTGCGCTCCACGGCACTGCCCTGGCCAGCTGGGCCTTCGTGCATACTGTGCGTTTCCTCTCACGTCAGGAGACTGGGAAGCAGAGTCTAACAGCTTCTCCTGCTCATCCAGAACGTGACCCATGAAACCCAGGGCAGGACGTCCTGACCCTTCTCATTTGCAGGTGTAACT